GTTAGAAGAGGCACTTTGAATCTCAATATTGTCACCATTCACGTAAGATTTAAAATAAAGACTTCCTGGATCTTTCTTACTTGCCCTACATACCTTGAGTTTCTTAGGTCCTGGGAAGAATACCTTCTGACTCTGAACTGAAAGACCAAGTTCCATTCAATCAGTCACCTGCTTAAGAGACAGGGGACTGGAAGTAATCAGTCAACAAATGATTTTGTACGATATAAATACATTACCTGTAAACTCTTTTTTTTTTACCATATAGATGGATTTTCTATTGTTTATATATAACAAATAACAATACTATAACCTGCCCTGTTCTTTTCCTCCTAATGTAGAAATAATCTTGTTCCATCCTTAAATGTAATTAATTGCTTTTCAGAAAATGACTCATATAATTTATTCACTTTAAACATTCTTTCATTAATTCACTTAATGGATACTCTTTGAGTATATGTGACAGTCTAGTACCACAATTATACCAAAGCTTATTGCTGCTACACCCTGCTCCTCCTACACACTCAAAAGAATAGAATGAGGCACAGAAAAGGAATGTTCTGTTTGTTGTGTTATTTAAACCTTTATACTGTTAATATCCAGACTTGAATTCTAAAATACAAAACATATAAAGAAAGTTGAGGGATAAAGAAATGCTTCCAATTAGATTATACTTCTTGTATTTTATTTATTTGTTTACCCTATGGCCAAATTTTTTTCAGCTTTTTTCATAATTTATCACAAATACATTACTTAAAAAAATTAAGTTTTCTACGTTAAAAGATTTTTATTATATTCTATGCAAAGTTCCACATTCGTATTTCTGGTTCCCCTGCCCCCATAGCACTTTAGGATTTTACGGAGGAAAAGACATCATGTAGAAATAAATGGAGGTGAATCACTTTGATTAATATAGAAACACACTAAATTATTTATGGATGTATCTCAGAGTATTTTTAAAAATAGACATAATTATTTATCATTTTTTTGGCATCAGTTTTGATTTTTCTTTCTAAATAATTAGCAGGATACAGGCTTTCATCGACAAAATTATCTCCAGGACTAGCCATATTCATTTCAGAAAATAGCTTCATTTTGTATTTACTTGGTATTGTATCTCTCAGCCCATCAAACCTGATTCCTGGATGTTTCTGTGCTAAGCTGCTCACACTACATAAAGATGTTAAGGAGGCAGGCACCAATATTTAAAATCAAGTACGCTACTAGCTGTATAAACCTGGTCAAGTCTGCACATTTCTAAACCTTGGCGCTGTGAAAAAGCAGTGAAAATAAATAGTCCACAAGAATTCTGTGATGAGAGAATAAAATAACGCACACAAGAAACTCAGCAGGGTTCCCTGCACAAAGGAAGAGGCTGCTGACATGTTAGCTATTGCTGGGAGGTCATTTTATCTAGAAAGCATTCTTTTTTTTTTTTTTTTTTTTTTTTTTTTTGAGACGGAGTTTCACTCATGTTACCCAGGCTGGAGTGCAATGGCGCGATCTCGGCTCACTGCAACCTCCGCCTCCTGGGTTCAGGCAATTCTCCTGCCTCAGCCTCCTGAGTAGCTGGGATTACAGGCATGCACCACCATGCCCAGCTGGTTTTTGGTATTTTTAGTAGAGACGGGGTTTCACCGTGTTGACCAGGATGGTCTTGATCTCTTGACCTCGTGATCCACCCACCTCAGCCTCCCAAAGTGCTGGGATTACAGGCGTGAGCCACCGCGCCCAGCCTAGAAAGCATTCTTCTAGGGAAGCTCCCCTTTCTTTCTGGAGGTAACAAATCCCCTACATACAACAAATCTTTAAAACTTGGTCCATTTTGTTTCCTAATTATATGGAGAACGTGATTATGCTTTTAGTGGAATTTGTAGCAAATTATGCAGTTTTATCTTCATCTTAATGTGTCACTATCTGGTGAGGTCTAGACAGCTTTTAAGTGAAGTGAACATTTGTTTGTGAAGCTTAATATAGTAATTCAGGACCATTGTCTCCACTGGTGCTAGGAACTGAAGAAACTTCCACATCTCTAGTTAACTTTCTGCAGTAGGCACAAGAGATTTGATGTCTGAATGTTCTAGAAGTGTGCGTACCTAGCACTGACAAAGCAGATCATTTTTAGTTTGACGATGATCAGATAGGGTAGATCTTTAAAAATGAGGATAGGATTATTTTAATGTGGAAAATTCTGACTAATATGAATGGATTTGTAGGGCTCTGCTTGTAGAGCAACTAATCATTTTCCCAACTAATGACATAATTTGCCTGCTCCAGAAGGTAGAGCTGTGTCTTGTCAATGATAAGAATACATTCTAGAAAATGCATCATTAGGTAATTTCACTGTTGCATGAATATCAGAGAGTGTACTTACACAAACCTACACGGTACAGCCTACTACATACCTAGGCTATATGGTACATAGCCTGTTGCTTTTTGGCTACAAACCTGTACATCATGGGTCCCCAAACATTTTGGCACCAGGGACTGATTTTGTGGAAGATGATGTTTCTGTGGACTGATGTATGGGGAGAAGTGATGGTTTGGGATGAAACTTTTTCACCACAGATCATCAGGCATTAGATTCTCATAAGGAATGCTCAACCTAGATCCCTCACATGCACAGTTCACAATAGGGTTTGCTATTTTATGAGAATCTAATGCAACCACTGATCTGATAGGAGGTAGAGCTCAGGCAGTAATGCTCATAGGACAGCCACTCACCTCCTGCTGTATGCCTGGTTCCTAAGAGGCCAGGACTGACACCAGTCTGCAACCTGAGGATTGAGGACTCCTGTTGCACAGCAAGTTACTGTACCAAATGTTGTGTGTAACTAGAACACAATAGTAAGTATTTGTGTATATAAACACAGAAAAGCTACCATAAAAATATTGCATAAAGGATAATAAATGGTACCCCTGTACAGGTATATACCATGAATGAAGCTTGCAGGACTAGAAGTTACTCTGGGTGAGTCAGGGAATGAGTTGCGGGTGAATGTGATGGCCTAGGATATAACCGTACACTGCTGTAGACTTTACACTTATAAAAATATTTTTCTTTCTTCAGTAACAAATTAACCTTAACTATTGTGATTTTCTTACTCTGTAAACTTTTTAATTTTTTAAATTTTTAACTCTTTTGTAATAATGCTTAACTTAAAACACCGACATATCATATAGCTGTATAAAAATATTTTTTCTTTATATCCTTATTATATAATATTTTTTCTATTTTTAAAACATTTTTAACTTTTCTGTTAAAAACTAAGACATGAACACACACAATAGCCTAGACCTACCCAGGGTGAGGATCATCAATGGATCATCAATATTACCTTCTTCTACCTTCATGTCTTGTGCCACTGGAAACTCTTCAGGGGCAAAAACACATATGGAACCATCCTCTCCTATCACAACAATGCCTCCTTCTGGGATATGTCCTAAAGGATCTGCCTGAAGCTATTTTATAGCCAACTTTTTGTTTCATTAGTAGAAGGAGTGCACTCAAAAATAGCAATAAAATGTACAATGTAGTATAATATAGTATTTGCAGACACCAGTAACTAATCATTTATCATTATCAACTATGCACCGTACACAATTGTATGTGCTATATTTTAATATGATTGGCAGCACAGTAGTTTCATGTACACTAGCATCACCAAAAATATGTGAGTAATACATTGCACTGTGGTTATGACACCACTAGGCAATAGGAATTTTTCAGCTCCATTTTAGTCTTAGAGGACCACCATCATTATATGCAGTTCATCGTGGATCAGAATGTTGTTATTTGGTACATAGTTGTACTTGAAATGTCTTGATATTTTTTAATTCCTCACACCCAGTCCTCTCAATCAACCCAAGTTGATGACATTCACAGGGCAGAGAGAAGATGAGTAGGAACGATAGATTTATGCCAATTCACCCATTTGTGAAGGAGAGAGAACTAAAGAAAGTGTAAAGATGAATAGGCCCCAAACTATCGGTTTGTATTAATCTATAAAGTGCTGTGAATTCCTTGGAAATATAGTTATGGTCTTTCTTTTAAACTGAACCAAAGGAAAGATGATAAAATGCCAGGGAAATTGATATAATATTTACTCAAGCTGAACAACAAATTCTAAGTTCATAGAAAATTATAGTCTGACAAGGTAGGAGTAATTTTGTCATTTAAAAAAAAGTTTGCCTTCCAATTACCTATCAATTATCTTCCTATATAGCATTTAAAAAAAGAAAATATAATATTTTATAAATTATTATTAAATAATATATTGATTTGTTTCAGTTTCTAGATTTAAATACCTTCCCTTCTGGAGCATTCTCATATTCTCATATGAGCATTCTCATAAAATTCTCATATTAAGCAGATATTTTTAATGAAAATTTATTGGCAGTCATAGACTAATGTCACAATGATGTTAACTAAGCAAATATGAAAAAAAGATGTTATGGCAGCTGTTTCCAAGACGTTGTCGAATCATAGAACATGATGTCACTTTCAGCTAAAAGTCCATTTATTATTTTTTCCTAGAAAGTTCTGCCATTTCTCATAGTAACTCTCTAAAATTATTTTCTTGTTTACTTTTTAATTATCTGTTTCTCCCATCCTCACTAGAATTTAAACTCCCTGTAAATGAAGAAATTGTCTATTTTTTGCTATATCCCCAGCACCATAAAAAAAATGCTCGGCACATACCCAGTGCTTTATTTTGTTTAACAAACACATGAATGGATATTTATGGAGAATTTCTCTTCAGGATAAGCAGTCAATAGCTAAAAGGTAACCTTGGTTTCAGTGAGACCACCAATAATCTGTGTTCTCAAATGACATTTTAGGATTCTTTCCTGGAACTTTGCTTTGAAGGAACTTAATGGATCTATGTTTAGGAACAGCACTGCAACCGCCCTGTGAAGGCCCTTACTATATTCTGAACAAGAGTGAAATTGAAGATATTTTTCTCAAAATTAACATGTTCTCTTTGTAAAGACACACCAAAGTGCTTGCTTCAGCTGCATGTATACTAAAATTGGAAAGATACAGAGAAGATTAGCATGGCCCCTGTACAAGGATGACAAGCAAATTCGTTAAGTGCTCCATATTTTTAGGTGTCAGAAATAATGCCACATATCTACAACCATCTGGTCTTTGACAAATCTGACAAAAACAAGCAATGTGGAAAGGTTCCCTATTTAATAAATGGTGTTGAGAAAACTGGCTAGCCATATGCAGAAAGCTGAAACAATCCCTTCCTTATACCTTACACAAAAAATAAGTCAAGATGGATTAAAGACTTAAAGGTAAGACCTAAAACCATAAAAACCCTAGAAGAAAACCTACACAATACCATTCAGGACATAGGCATAGGCAAAGACTTCATAACTAAAACACCAAAAGCAACGGCAACAAAAACCAAAATTGACAAATGGGATCTAATTAAACTAAAGAGCTTCTGCACAGAAAAAGAAACTATCATCAGAGTGAACAGGCACCCTACAGAGTGGCAGAACATTTTTGCAATCTATCCACCTGACGAGGAGCTAATATCCAGAATCTACAAAGAACTTAAACAAATTTACAAGAAAAAAATTAAAGAAAACCATCAAAAAGTGGCCAAAGGATATGAACAGACCCTTCTCAAAAGAAGACATTTATGCAGCCAACAAACATGGAAAAAAAACCTCATCATCACTGGTCATTACAGAAATGAAAATCAAAACCACATTGACATACCATCTCACATCACTTAGAAAGGCAATCATTAAAAAGCCAGCAAACAACAGACGCTGGAGAGGATGTGGAGAAATAGGAACACTTTTACACTCTTGGTGGGAGTGTAAATTAGTTCAACCATTGTGAAAGACAGTGTGGCGATTCCTCAAGGATCTAGAACCAGAAATATCATTTGACCCAGCAATCCCATTACTGGGTATATACCCAAAGGATTATAAATCATTCTATTCTAAAGACACATGCACACGTAGTCTACTGCAGCACTATTTACAATAGCAAAGTCTTGGAACCAACCCAAATGCCCATCAATGATAGACTGGATAAAGAAAATGTGGCACATATATACCATGGAATACTATGTAGACATGAAAAAAGGATGAGTTTATGTCCATTGCAGGGACAGGGATAAAGCTGGTAACCATCATTCACAGCAAACTAACATAAGAACAGAAAACCAAACACTGCATGTTCTCACTCATAAGTGGGAGTTGAACAATGAGAACATGGACACACACAGGGAGGGGAACATCACACAATGGTGCCTGTTGGGGGTTGGGGGGCTAGGGGACAGTAGCATTAGGAGAAATGTATAGTGTAGATGATGGGTTGATGGGTGCAGCAAACAATCATAGCACGTGTATACCTACGTAACCAGCCTGCATGTTCTGTACATGTACCCCAGAAGTTAAAGTATAATAATAAAAAAGACAAACCAAAAAATACTCTCATAGCTCTCTGTATCAGGAAAAGAGATAACTTCTTCTGAACAAGGGCTTATTTTTCTTTCTTGATGTCAAAACTCATATGATTACTTTAGTGTTTCTTTTTTGTTTGCTAGGAAATTCAGAGCTAAATTTGTAGCTCACCTGTAATGATCTTACAGCATGCTTTCTGTATATTAAGCTTCATTTTGTTTCTCTCTCCGTATTTTCTGTTCAATTTTCATTCAATTAGTACCTAATTTCCTCTCAGGGCTTTTATTTATTTGCTATCTCATATTGCCTGATTCTTTGCAATCATTTTGTTTGGAACAGGCAAGGTGGAAATGCATTTTAAAGTGAGATCATGTTCCAAAAAGCACTATGTTATTTTTGGATCTTATATTTTGAGAAAGTAGGTGGAGCCCTGAGTGACACAGAGCCCTTGAGGATATAACAGGTGTGCTGTAAGATAAATTGGAGAACTTCCCTTTTTAGTGACTTGTTTTTTGGCCAAAGTATTTAAGATGCTCCATATGCTTGGACAAAAATTGTCTTCTTAAAAAAAATAAAAAAACAAACACAAACCATAAAAGTTACTTTTTGGACATTCAAGGAGGTGAAAGAAAAATCCAGACTGCTTTGAAGGAGTCTTCCTGCACAGCCTGCAGTGCAAAAGGGTATAAACACAACCCCAGATGCCAGATGTTTTAGCATAGCAATGTGAAGAAATACTCCCCTTCTTTATTTACACTTTATAGCAAATATTTTACAAAGAGAAAGCAAAGAATGTTGATGTTCCATCAGTTAAGCTTCAAGCATAACAAGGCCCCAAAGTCCAAAATACCAGTCTTCCCTAACAATGTGTAGTGATAAACATCAGGCATTCTATTTTCTAGTATTCAGAAATGATTATTAGGAAGAAAAAAAAGCTTACAACACTGATCAATCTCTTTTTTCAAGGTTGCCAGGATCTAATTAAAGTTGTCATCATTGTTTTGTGTGTGTGTGTGTGTGTGTGTGTGTGTGTGTGTTTTAAATTAAAAGTCCTTTTATTATTTGTAAGTTTACACACACACACACACACACACACACAAACACACGGGAGAAGGGAGAGGGTAACCACTTTTCCCACCAGCCAACTGCTTCAACTTTCTTTGAAAGGCATTTATTTTTTTATTATAGAATCACTTTCCAATCTGGCCATATTCTTAATGATGGGAAAATACTCTTAATGGCAGTCTCACTATTCGGAAAACTAACTTGTTTAAAGCAATTTTATTTTTTTAAGATGGAGTTTCACTCTTGTCACCCAGCCAGGAGTTCAGTGGCATGATCTCGGCTTACTCAATCTCCTCCTCCTAGGTTCAAGAGATTCTCCTGCCTCAGCTTCCCGAGTAGCTGGGATTACAGGCCCCTGCTACCATGCCTGGCTAATTTTTTGTATTTTTAGTAGATGGGGTTTCGCCATGTTGGGCAAGCTGGTCTTGAACTCCTGAGCTTAGGTGATCTGCCTGCTTCAAGTTCCCAAAGTGCTGGGATTACAGACATGAGCCAATGTGCCTGGCCAGCATTGTCTTAAGAAAGTACCATTTGGATATTGTTACCAACCTAAGGTTCTCATTTCTTACTCTAGTTAGTAAATCAAAGGAAGAGATAGTGAATCATCCACTTAATAAAACATCAAAGACAGACCCTGCTGGGAGTGACTACCAATATCAGTTCTATCATATCTGTCAGGAAAGGCCTGATGCTTGGATAGCAAACTCAAATAGGCTGGAAGAGACTGAGAGAAGGAGGGGGCTTCATAAATCACACCGCAGCGATATATCCCAACATGCAGTCAGCAAGCAAGGGAAGATACAAGTATATTCTACACACAGTTCACAGCAAAGATGGATATATTATTTTGTCCTTTAGAATTGAAGATCATATTAAACTAAATTTCAGAGATCCCACAGCCCATTACACTTAAAGAACTGCCTTTTTTTCTTCCTAAGGTCAAAATATAGGAAATTCAGCTCAATAAAAGACCAAGGAAAAAGTAAGGTGCTACAATGTTGCCGCCCACCTTATCAAAGTGGGACCTTTGAATAAAAGATCAAAGAAATTGAGCATTCACAGGAATCTTCCTTAATCCAAACAGAAAGATTAGAAGAGATCCTAAATTACCCACAAATTTTGTCGCTGCCCTCCAGGTGCAAAGATAATCTCAATCTTATCTAATGAATAATGAAGGCCATAGCAGGAGACTGGGGTCCTGACCTCCTGAAAGATTACAGAAATATGAAACAGGCCTAATATGAAGTCTCATCTGGAGACCTAAAGCTAATAAAAACAATTGGAACAAAGAGGAAGTTAGAATGGGCTTTTGAGATTATTAGAATATTGACTTTACATTTTTTGGAGGGGTAAATATGACCATATAGCAAACTGAGATTAACCTTTTTCTATTTCTGACTTTTTCAGCATGTCTTTGAAAGTATGTGTGCTTCTAGATGAACAGATCACGTTGTACTGGCTTCTATGCATGAATCTGCTGTTATTGAATCAGCCTACCATCACTAAGAACAAATACCTTCCCCTATGCTCTTAACTATCACTTACCCCCATAACTTAACTACTATCCTTTCCAAAATCATGCCTTTGCAAGCTGGCAAGCCAAGAATGACTTAGGTAAACATGTATAAAGCAGAGTTAACAGACCGAAATGGGATCAAACCCAGCATCTTGGCTTTATTCCACCAGATGCTAAGAAGCACATCAAGACCCCATATGGAGGACAAATACTGAACCACAGGATTGCATGTAGCATGTTTACATTTTTATTTATTTATTTTTTGATTTAGAGGTTATACAGTTCTTGTGTCAACACCATGAAGTTTAGGCTGAGATTACAGTAATAACTAAATTTAGCGGACCTTTAAATAGCATAGTAATCATATTTATACCAAGTTCAAATGTCAGGGGCTGCTGACTTTGCCAGTGACAACGTATTTAGTATTACCTCCTAAATAACATCAAACAAGGGTGAAGGAAACATGAATTCTAAATCTGAGTCCACAGTTATTTCACTTTGTACAATGGCGGCTTCCTGCTGGGTCTACTGCCAGCACTGTGTCATGGCCTTTAAATGATTCATCTCCTTTAATTGTCATAACAGCTCTATGAGGTAGGTATTATTATTTCCACTTTACAAATGTGGAAACCGAGGCAGAGGTATGAAGTAACTCATCTGAAATCATGCAACTAGGAAGTAGCCCAAACTGTTCTCCACTGTACTCATTGGCTTTGATTAATTCATCTATTTCGCTCACGCCTCTATTCTCTATTCCCCATGAATGCTCATAATTTAATTAATGAGCATTTAGCTTAGTAATTTGCACAATAATTATGCTACCATTTACTAACATTTCATTCAACCACTTCAAAATTTTTTTGGCATAATCATCTCATCTAATTAGACCAAAGTGCATTCTAAATAGACAATTTTTGTCAACATATTCCAAGACATTTATCCTCTGCTGAATTGCTATGTTTTTGAACTATTTGTTTGATGTTTTTTGAAAGTCCTGTTGGTTTATTGGGAAAAAATAGATAGCATTCAATGTTTATTTTTTAAGACTTTCTACATTTTGGAAAAGATGATTTACAGTGCATAACATATTTCTGTAA